CCGTGGTGTGCTGGTGAACGTTAAACAAGCAGCAATCTGGGAAGGAGCGCTCTGGTTTGCAGCATTTGCTGAGTTCCGACGTGTAAACACTCCTATCATGGTTGGTTTTAAGCTACCAACTTCCAGGAGCCAGTTAGAGCCGGCTCCCAGCACTGCCTCTCACCCGTTCTGGGTGACCCGCAGAGCTGTGTCCAGGACCTCTGTGATTTAGAGCAGTGCTTCTCAAACTGCGGTCCCTGAACCAGCCACAGCATCACCTGAAAACGTGTTAGAAATGGAAATTACCTGGCCCCACCTCAGACCTACGTACGAATCAGAAACCCTGCGGGTGGAGGGAAGGGGCGCACTCTGTCCTGTCGTAGCCCTGCAGGGGATTCTGATGCAAGCTCAAGTCTGAGACCCTCTGGAACAATGGGTAATGTGCCCTTTCACAAGCCCTGCTGGTCCCAGTCTTCATCCTGAAGCTGGGAGAATGGGGCTCATTCCCCAGTCCTTGGCAGATAGGCAAACTGAGGCCAGGGAGGTGAAGGTGGACTGGAAGGTGGTGAGTGAATGATGTGGGTTAGGAAGTCACCTTGCCAGCCTTGGCCTCCCCTCTCATTAGGTAATTGGATTGAGGGCTCTCTGCAGAGTCCCTCAGCCCTGGCCCTCCACAGGTCTGTGAAGTGGTTTGTCCACGAACCCAAGGCAAGCGGGAGGGTGGGAAGGCTGAGCTCTGACTCCAGGCAAACGGCCAGAGAGAGGGAGGGAGGGAGTCCTGGGTCCTCCAGAGCGGGATGCTCTGAAGAGAGGAAATGAGGAAATTGGTGCAGAAAAGCCTGAGGCTCAGCAGTGCCTGGCCCGGGGCCTTCGAGGCTGGTCCGAAGGGGTTCCGAATTTAAGCAAGTCTCAGGGCAAGTACTAAAGGGACTGGACTAACAACCTCTATACCTCAGATCTGGTCCCAGGAAATGAGAGAAGGCTCCTGGGGCAGAGGATGGGCTGGGAGCCCCCGCTCCAAGCCTCGCCTAGCTCTCTGTGGGGCATGTTTGCTCTCTGGTTGTCTCAACAACTTCCCCCGACCCCAATCCAGATTCATTATTAACCAGAGACAAACAGATCAAGAACCAAGTATCAGAAATGATGCAAATTCTGTGTCACCCTAGGAGGCTAAGAAATACCTGTGCAATCAGCAAGGGTGTGATGTCACCCAGAGAAATGTTTGGCAAATGTGACCACGTGACACAGCCCTTGTGCTCTGGTCACATGGGAGGGAGGGGTTCCCCACTGAGCTCAGAGTTTCTGACAGAGAACCAAAACACAAACAGAAACTGGCTTGTCACAATGAAATCGTAAGTCATGTGACAGGACAGTTTTTCTCCTCAATGTTTTAGTCATAGAGCAAAGATTCAGAGCGAGTGTTACTTGGCAGAACCAGGCTCTGCTGGATTGCTGGCCTGCTTCTTGCTTTGGCTGGAAAGTTGGGTCACTGGAATTTCAGTCACTCTCCTTTCAGGAAAGAAGCTCTATATGAAAGCGTTTCCTCAGAGGCACCTGCTCTAGAATTTCTTTAGCAAAAATCCTGGCCCCAACACCAGCCTCCCACTACTGGACTGTGTCCCTGCGGTTTCTCATCTGAACTTGGCCTCATTGTTGGTCCCTAGAGAGAGGCAGGCTGCCTGAGCCAGGCGCTCCTTCTTGTCAACTGCAAATGGCCCATGGCAGGGGTGCTTCAGTGGTTAGTTGCTGGTGTAAGCCGAAGGAAGGTTTGGGCTTTATACAGACAGAGCAGTCTGCTCAGCAAATGCTGAGCAAACACCTGGTGGCAAGTTGAAGGTTTTAGGTAGCAAAGGGAAGTATGGGGTGTTGGGTAGGGCGGGCGATGGCCCGCTCCATTCTCTTGTCCCCATTCTGCCAGGCTTTTTCACTCTTTGCAAAACTGTTGACCACTTGGAATCCTGGCACTGGGCAATGGTATGAGAAATACATAAATGGGCAGCCACGTCACTGTCCTCAAGGGGCTTATGTTCTATTTAGAAAGATAAAACAATCACAGCTCCACACAGGAACGAGCAATAGGGAACCGCATGCAAATTTACCACAAACCCAGAGCAGCGAGGCACAGAGGGAAGAGCATGGATAGTCCCTGTGCCAGACACAGCACAGCTGAATTCTAGCCCTGTCACTCACTAGCAACTGTGCAACCTTGGGCAAGTTGCTTAAACTCTCCGAGTCCCAGTCTACACATCTGTAAAGTGGTAATAAAAATTCCCAACTTGTGCTCGCTCTGGCGGCACATACGCTAAAAACATTCCCAACTTTCAGGGCTGTCATGAAAAATAAAATAGTGGTGGCAAAACAGCTGGTAAAATGCCCAGCGCACAGTAAGTACTTGATAGATCTTAATAGTCCCCTTAGACCAGGCGTCCCCAATCCCTGGCCACAACTGGAACAGGGCCACACAGCAGGAGGTGAGTGGTGGGCTAGTGAGTGAAGCTTCATCTGCATCTGCAGCCGCTCCCCAGCGCCAGCATCACCGCCTCAGCTCCACCTCAGATCGTCAGGCATTAGATTCTCATAGGAGCACCGGTCCCTGTTGCCAAAAAGGTTGGGGACCTCTGCCTTAGATCCCTTCCACCATGTGAGAACTCAAGAGAGATGTCTGTCCAGACACCAGGAACTGGGCTCTCACCAGACACTGAATCCACCAGCGCCTTGATCTCGGACTTCCCAGTCTCCAGAACTATGTGAAATAAATGTTTCTTGTTTCAACCAACCAACCAACCAACCAAACAAACATCCCTTTAATTCTCTTTTGGGTCAAGATGGGCTGTAAAATATGAATCATTTATGTCTGGTCTCCAAACTTAGAGCAGACTAGATGCAATAAAGGGAGGCTTAAAAAGAGCAGGGGAAATTAACACACCGAAGCCTGACAGTGAGGGGATGCCTAGAAGAAATACAGAAGCAGATTTAAAAACAAAATAGCACCCAGGTGCCATGTGGTACGGAAGCAAACAGCTGCCCCCTCCCACAGCCTCCAGGGCCATCGTCATATCACAGGACAGCAGAGCAGACGGATGATGTTCACAATGGAACAGTGTTCAGTAGCCTCTAAGAAGCCAGGGATGAACTTAGTGCATTTAAAAAATATTTTGATCCAAAATAATTAACATTTTTCAAAAAGTACTTAAACTGTGTGGGGCTGGTAAATTTTCGGGTGTCCAGAAAATTTATCTGCCACAGTTTCAAATGGCTAGACTAGCTGGGTTTTACTCTACTTCTCATATGTTAGTCAGAGAGCTTAGAATCATGCTGAGCACATCCTGGGGGCTTACTGGACTCCTGTTTCCTGATCAATCCACACAGTGTTGAAATATATGGTTTGTTCTATTTCCCATTTTCAACCATTCCGTGCATTAACTGACTTAGGTCAGGGTCAGGCTCCATCTTCTCTTCGAAACGATAACGGATTATCTCCAGCCTCCACCGCTCTCCCACCAACCTGTCCCTTCTTCCACATTCCAGATTTTAGTTGATGGTGCCATCATCTACCAGACAGCAAAGACGACAGCAACAACAGAGCCGTGTTCATGAAATTAGCAGGTAACTGCAGTCCCAGGTCCTGCCTAGTGGGGGCATTCGGCCACAGCCGCGGTGCCAGCACCCCTGGTACCGCTCTAACCCCTGAGCTGCCACATCTGGGGGGAAACCTGAGGCCCTAGTATTTTCCTGGTCTAGGGACACCCAGTGGGAGCGGGGAGTAGAGTTCCCTTTCCACTTGTTGAGCCACACAGGGGACCCAGAGGGCAGGAATGTGGCCCTAGGCACAGGGCACGCAGAGTTTCCCTACTGGTACCCTCTCAAGGGGGGAGTGTTCCCATGACTGAGAGCAACCCAGCTGCACTCCGCACAGGCCCAGCCTCCACCCAGCTCCAGACAGGTGGTGGCTTCTGCTGGCTGCTACCCAGACTGGCAGGGGCTGGGTCGTGAGCAGAAGAGACCCACCTGCTACCCTGCCCAGCTCGTCCTTCCACCCCGGCCCTTGCTCTGTCCATGGGTCCCCAACAAAAGGCGCTCTTAACCTCCAAACATGTCTCCTCAGTTTTCTATTTGATTTTCAACTTTTATTTCTTATTAATACTTTTCTAAAGACTGTAAAACAGACCAAATTCTTCTGGGAATTAGCCCATAAGTAAATACAATATCTCTATGTTCAAAAATTCCCACTTAGAGCAATCTGGGAGTCTCTATTCCCTTTTCCTTCTGAGCCCTGTCAGGGTTCTGCTCTGGAAACACAGACTTCGCCGTCTCTGACCCTTTCTTCTTTCCTTCCACTCTGGATTTGCACACGGAGATAGCGAGGTGGGCCGGGCAGGGAGAGAGGAACTGGCTGGATTCTGGAGTTTGCATCTAGACTGCCATTTAGTAGCTGCGTGACCCTGAGTGAGTTATTGAATAGCTTTAGGTTTGTTTTCCTTATCTCTAAAGTGGAAACCAGAACTGCTCCCTCACAGGAGAGCCTCCCCTCCCCCACCCGCACTCCTGTGCCTGCATGTGCGAAGTGCTTATCCATTCCTACTGTGGCTCATTTCTTCCATGAAGTCTTCCATGATTATCCCGACTGTGGCAGAGACAGCCAACTACCCACACCATTCTTACTGCCCACTTTTCTTTACAGTTAGGGGGTGCATGGAGCACAGATATGGCCAATGAGATGTAAATGACAGTTGTTGGAAGGGGCTTCTGAGAAACCTCTTTAATAAGGGCTCACTGAACTGTGCTCTTTTGTCTCTTACTCTATCTCCCCTTTTTCTCATCTGGAATGTAAATGTGATATCTGGAGCTGCAGCGGCCATGTTGAGACCTCACGGCATCCTTGGAGATAGAACTCACATACTAACTGTGGCAGAGCAAAAGGGCAGAAGGAGCCTATGATGCTGAATCATCCACCAAACGTCAGGATTTATGTTACATCAAGGGAAAAAAAGCAGTTAAGCTTTCTATTACCTGTAGTCCAATGTAGTCCCTGTGGATATGTGGGTTGATGGCCTTGCCCTCTTCTCTGAGCTCCAATCACACATATAGTCACAACTGCATTCAAAGAGATTTTGGTCATAAGCAAAGTAACCTAACCATCTAGACTTTTTGGAATCCTATGTGTAAGGAATAGAAAGTTCTGATTCACATAGAATGTCTGCACCCCAAATCTAAAAAGGTCCCGCACTCAGCTTGGTTCTTCATCATCTGGTACTTATCTTATGGGGGGAATGAAAGGCAGATGAATGCTGATTGCAAAGCAAACACTGTTTGCAGGATTGTTGGATTTGTTAACCCCAAAAGCATGATGAGGAATGGATGAGCCAAGGCCAGCAGACCTCCAACGCACCTCTGAGGTTTAGGGAAACCTTACTCCATTCTGTTCATAAGTGTATGGCTTCTAGACCATGAAGGAGTAACGAGTCCTGCCTTGGGCAGCATAATTATTTCTTCACATGTGCACATTCTGCATCGCCAACGAGCTCAAGTTTGCCATCAGACTTAAAGTTATTTATTGTGCACTTCCCACGTGTAAATTTCCATGCTAAGTGCTGGGGGGAACTCAGGGATGAAAAAGACCCAGTCCTCGCCCTCAGGGAGCTGACAATCTAGCTGAGGAATGGCGCAAACCACGCAGGCGTAGGAGGTTGTAGGAGGTTGTGGAAAGGCAATCACAGAGGGAGAGAGGCGAAGGAGGCCTCGGAGGGAAACCGCATCTGGGCCGGGCTTTGGAGAACAACTGCATCTCAACAGGCGGCCGGGCTGGGAGGGCTGGGAGCCTGAAGAAGCAGCGGGAACAGGACACGGCACAGTTACCAGGCGTGGAGTGATTCCAAAATGGTCACAGTCTAGTATGGCCTCAGTGGTGGGAGACCGAGGCAGTGAAACTCAGGTGCTAAGTGTGGGAGGTAAAGCCATGACTGAATTTAAAAGTAAAGATCATGATGGCTAGCATGCACTGGATGTATGATACGTGCCAGCCGTTGTTCTCAGTGCTTTCTGCGAATTAAGTCACAACAACCCTAGAGGACTATTTCTGCCTGTTTCACAGGTTAGAAAACACAGCTTTCACCAAAGGAAAGTCGGTTTGCCCTATGTCAAAGCTCGGAGAAGAGCCAGGATCCTGCCCCGTTTGGATCCCCGGTTTGCTCTCTTAGTCACTAAGCTACAGTAGGAAGAGGTCAGACCATGGTGGATAGGGGTCTTAAATACCACTCTAAGGGGTATAGTTTCCTTGCACAGATCTGTGAACTGAGCAGGGGGCCATTAGAGTTAAACTTGTGACTTTGATGCATCCCTCTGGAGGCTCCCTGAGGAAAGGCTGAGAAGGGAGAGAATAAAGGCAGGGGACCTACTAGGAGGCCCCAAAGAAATACTGGCTTGGAGCAGGGCTGACGGGACAGAAGCAGGGGGGTAGGCTAGAGCATCTCTGCAGAGACAGGCCAGGGCTGGTGCCTGGTGTGAAGCTCTCAGTGCATGTGATGTTAACTGATACTGAGAGAGCAAGATGAAGCCTCTAAGGAGATGAGAAAGGACGAGGAGGAGCTGGGAGGAGAAGAAAGGCTATTCAGATCGGATCAAAGTTCATCCTACAGGTACTTCGCCTGCACGGGACCTGGTGTATGGGCAAGCTTATTCACTGCCGCATTATATGAGAGAGCAAAGGACGGGAGCCAGGCTAAAAGCCCATCAACAGGACACTGTATAAATACATTTTAGTTTATCTGTACATAGAAATACTATGTTTTTGTATAGCTCATGAGGTCAGCATGGCTTTCACATTTTTAAATGTTTGGGGAAAAAATGAAGAATAATATTATGTGATACGTGAAAATTACATGAAATTCAAATTTCAGTGTCCATAAATAAAATTTTATTGGAACACAGCCACATTTATTGATTCATGTATCACCTATGTCTGCTTTCCCATTACGATGGCAGAATTGAGCTGTGTGAAAGAGGCCTTCTGGCCTGCAAAGCCCAAAATATTTACTATCTGGACCTTTACAGAACAGT